TTGTAGTGGCATAGTCCGGAAAATGTGTCCGACTCAATGGGGTGTCCGAGTCAATGGTGAATCACGTTAGTTACAGTAACGTAACTAGTTATCCCCTAAAACAATCGAATGTAGGTACGACGCTTATAGGAGGAGGCTGAGCTCTCGAAGCTAACTTAGAAGTCAAAGTCGTTATTGTGAGTAGATGTAGAATCACCTAATGCAAATGCCGATTGACAAGCCGACGAAGCGGATAATATGCTTCAGTCGGCTCATACTATATCCTCGTTTCCCTTGTATACTGTGACCGTCCTTTTCATCATTTCTAATCGGGTATGGCGCTCCGTCAGGCTCGCGTCCTCATACGGCCCAGCTGCACCCGCCGCATAAATAGAGGCCCTCCTCTCCAACGTCCTTTTCTTGGACTCTCAACTTTCTCTCCCTCCCTTTTTGCTTCACTCGGGCCCCTGCCTGCTCTTCTCCTCCCTTCCAACGCATTCATCGCCCGCGGCTCTCTCCATCCTCATCTCGCTAAGCTGGACATGTCCTATCCACCCATTGTGATCCCCTGTTTCCGGCGCCTCGACAAACCTGCACATCTTTCTTTCTCCGAACCCTACTCCTTACTGCATCACGAACAGTCAGTGAAACAGGCAAGAGAACGAGGCGGACCCAAGATGACGTGGCCTCTCAGTCGCTAACTAAGAGTCCTCGTGCGTGAGGGGCGATCCTTTCCTGCTTGGAATCGACGGCGAGGCAGACACGGAGGCGGAGGGGCAGACTCATGCAGAGGGGTGGGGGAAAGGGGGGATGATGCGCCTGCATCACAGCGGCGAAACTGACCTAGGCGGCCTCCGGCGGCGCCTTGGGCCATACAGCACCAAGTCAGTGATTCGCAGCGATACAATATCCAGCCAGGGCTCCCTTCTCCGGATCTTCTCTCATCTGTCTCGGCATTTGCGTGATTGGGAGAGGTACGAGAGACCGGTGAATCGATGTCTCGTGGTGTGGTCTCCAAAGCGCATAGGGACGAGGCGTTTCACGACTAAGCGCATTCCTCACGAGCGGTGGGAATTGGCAAAGCGGACAGGGAGTTGCAGGCTGGGTCTATCTCCTTCCCAGTTCTGTGGTCGATCTCCATTTTTCGCGCACGCAGATATATTTCTCTCCTTTGAGGCCCGGCTTCAAATGCCCACTCTGGCCGACGGCCGAGGCGGAAAGAAGACTGCAGGGAGTATTGTTCATGCGGCCTGCGGCAAGATATATCAGATA